TATATATATATATAATTACATATAGAATATTATATCCAAATTTAAAAATTAGAATTACTCACTAAACAAATAAGCATTCACCCAATGATTATAATTCATAAAAAACTAATGTCGAAATTTTTTCTAATACAATTTTTTTTTGTTGTTGAGAAAAGCTTATCACATTTCCCTAGGTGATAGTGTTCGTGTAAAATTTACCATGTCTAATGTAATAGACACGGGCCCAATAATATAGAAGATGTAACTTCATTTTGATATGAAATCGCAGACAATAAAAAATCAATACATGTAAAGAACTATCAATTGACTTTAACGATATTATATACCAACTGTAGGATATTATTTATGAATATGGATGACAAAATATCCATTCTTGAATGTTGTGTGGTTGCCAAATGGCATATTCCTTTCATCTATGGGAGAAATACGTTCAAATATATACTATGCATACGCAATATAGTGCAGCTATCACGCTTTGGTTCGGCTCCTTTCTTGCCTGCTTCTGTCAAAAATATTGGTACCTGTAGGGATTATTTGTTAGTGTAGCCTATCTCATTCTTTCAAAGAGAAAGTTGAGAAGAGGAAGAAAAGCAAGAGAACCAAATTAGTTGGTGGTAATTGACATACTTTTCTAAACATGGCCTGTCATACATCTTTGTTTGTGCTTCATTATACCATAAGCTCAAATTTAGTCAGTAAAAAGAGATGCGAGTACACGCGAATACACCACACATAGCTGAACGACATGTAATAAATACATTAAAATTAGAAACCTCCGTCCGCTATATAACAAAATTATATCAAGACAAAAACAAGAGGTAGCTGTATGCAAACCCCAATAACTGTATCCAGCCATGAAGGAATTCGAGAGTAGCCGGCACATAGGCATAATGATGCAAGGAACTCTCTAGTCATGGTTTATCTCTTCATTTTCATTTTTCGGGTAAAAATAAAAGGTCTTTATGGAGCAAGCGTAGAATTGAATATTGACTATTTGACATGGATTTGCTTTCATCTTTATTAATCTGCATACTTCTTCTCCAGTACTCTATCATTATTGTAGCAGTTGCACCAATTATAGGACACGAAATTTCATTTAAGATGCTCGCTAAATTTTCATCTTTTATGTACAAGAGTTCTGGAAAAACATGTGGCGGAAGAAGAAGAAACAAAATCATTCTTTTATGCTCGAAGTGAGCTTATAGCCTAATAGGTCAACCTTTTTTTGGCCAAAAGTGTTTTTTTCGCTAAAAATACTTTTCCATAAAGTTAAGATATTTGGTCAAACTTTTAGAAGGAAAAATGTACTTTTGAGTAGATGCAGAACTTAATTTTGAAAAGTTAAAAATGCGATCTCAAGTTGATTTATAGAACACAAACTGCTTCATCAAGAATACTCATAAGCTAATTTTAAAAGTTTGGTCAAGGAGGCTATTAGACTCTAGGTATTACCTGGTATATTTCGATGGAAGCAACACCCTGCACAAGCAAATTAAAGGTAGAAATTGGTATTTTCATCAGGCAAGTTACTTGTCCAACTATTCAACTATTCAAATCTAAGTTCAGATGCATGACATTTTACTAAGTTAAGTTGTATTGCGAAGTTAAAAGAGGAAAACAAATTTACTGAGCATATAGGAGAAAAAATACGATGGCGCTGAATATGGATTTTAATGAGTACATGAGATTTTACCGAGCTGAGATATCTTGTTTCAACTCTGTCAGCGACAAAACTTTCGGTACTGGACAACTTCTCAAATCCTTTGCCCAGACACCATATGAGTGAAAGCAATCTGAATCATGTAGCAGGATCTAATGCACATACTCCACATCCTTTAAATGTTTTCTGTTGTACAATAAGATGCCAGAACAACATCCAACAAATATGCTCACAAAGTTAATCATTGACGCAAAGATAGATCATTAAAGCCATTCAATGGGAAGAGAAGAAACCTGCAGAACCTATATGAAGTTTGAGGTATTATTTAATAATTAAAAACCTCCACATCAAGAGTCCAGATTTTCAGCCATATTGGTAGTTGCCAATGGAAGTATTCTCCTTCTTTAATCAAAATCGAGTTGGTCCTTAGGCTCACTGTTTTTTACTCTCAATTGCAATCTAATACCAAAAGATTGTAAAAATAAATAAATCATTAAGATAGTAAGATTTTAAAGATACTTCTCTAATAAGAGCTTTAGAAACATCAGCAAGAAAATTAAGCACTTGGTCACCCTGCTTCAGTCTGTTGAAAACGTCATGATTAACTATCATATGTTTTTCATTTAGGACACTGAAAATTTTAAACTTAGTCAAATAAAAAAAATGGAAAAATAAACTTTATTTCGATGCCATAAAATATATACGAATACAAAACACGTAAGTCGAGAAACATATTTATTTTCTAATCATATAATCGTATAAGATTCATTCGACGTAGCATTTAATGAGTCTCTGAAGCTAGAACACTCACTCATAACCGAAAACAATAATTCAAGCCAAAAACCTAAAACGATGAGGTTCCGTTCTTACGAACCTGAAATGTTTCTTAGGAACCTTAAATGCCAACTTAGAATTCAGCAGAAGCTCGACCACAAACAAACAAAATATAGATAGTAAAAATTATATACGAAGGGGAAAGAAAGAGCGAAGAGTACCTGAAAGCATATTGAGAAAGACAATAATAAATGATCAGTATGACTCGTCGATTAGAACCACTGGAACAAACACAAATCTCCAAGTAAGTGTAGCTGATCGGACGCACAAAAAATAATAAAAGTTTATTTTGATCAAACAGAGATACAGGAAAACAAAGTAAAAAATCAAAAGCAAAAAGATGTCCATGCAATTTGTACGTATTTACATTACTGAATATACTTTCAACAGTGACTAATATCTATGTATGTTTATTATAATTTTTTAAAAGAACTCAAGCAAAAACATACAATACCTAAAAATAAATGACAAGAGATTAGAAAATTTGCCTTCTGGTTCGAGTGCTACTGAATAACAGAAGTAGAAAACAACCACAGCGGATCGCAAGAACTGCAATAACAAAGAAGATAAACTGTTACAGGCACAACAATTTTGGTCTTTAGACTCTTCACTAATAAAGAAAGAGATGAAGATTCAAAAGGCAAAAGGAGGTCAAAATATAAGTTCCACGTGCAATTTTGAACTGGAGTTCAACAAATTTTCGTACAAATGTAAATTTCAGTTAATGAAATTTTTTTGTCAGCATCCCAGATTTTCGAAACCCGTATTCCTTGCTATACTACCAGTAAGAACAATAGGAATTAGAGACAACATGATCAGTTAGCTTTTAAGCATTGGCGAAAAAGCTTGAGAGTCGTGGACATTATTTATCAAATTACCTTATTTGAATGAAGACAATTCTGCTTAGGCAACAAACAAATTTGCTTTCTTTTTGTTTGTTTTCGATATCACTTTCTCAAAGAGTTGAACTTATGTACATAAAAGAAGAAGAAAAATACTTCTACCAGAAATAAACACTCAAATTGGAAAGTTCACACAAAAATAATGTAGGAGCCAACTAATCTTCGAAAAATAAGATATGAAAATGCAATAGAATATCAGATCTTCTCTGCCACTTTCTTGATTCAAAATGAATTTCTAAAGTTCCAGTGCACTTGAGCAAGAAATATAATGATACAATTGTGCAATTTCATGCAATCAATATATATTACACATAACCATGAACCTACCATCATCTACTTACTTTTTGTTTCGATAACCAGTTAGAGAAAATACATAGATGGTTCCTTAAATTGTTGGTCTAAATTGAGAAGCTTATCTTAAGACAATGAGACAAAATCAAATGAAATCAAATCATCCTAGGACCTAACTGAGTTTGATACACTCCCTCCTCAAGCACACAGTACCCTTACCTATATTGTTTATTGCCAATCATATGAACTTTATTTTCCAAGTGATCAGTCAAGTTCATAAGCTTTCTTTTAGTGATGCACATCTTGTGCATATGACTGAACTATCTTTACATTAAGAAAAACGGTACATTTTTGGTAAACTAAACATGAAAGATAAAAATGAATAATAGACAGCTCAAAAGCTCACATTAAGTTTTGTGAAGAGATCAATTTAAAAAGTTTATAAATAATTACACCATCTGAGGCCCTCCTGCACAATTTTTTTCTCTGCCGATTTTGCATATGAATGGATAGCGTACAATCTAATGCTTTCTCGTGCAGCATGTTATATGCAGAACATAGACCAGAACTCCTTCAACGAAAATATGTAGCAAACAGTTCATTTTCAGAACATGTAGAAGCAGCCTTTATCAACCACGACTATCGAATTCGAGCTATAAAGAGCTGTCGGTTTACTCATCAAAAAGGAAAAATAGAAAAGGAAGCTAACACTTCCATTTTCTAATATTCTGCAATAAAACATATGACATAAAAAGATATAGCAGATTTTAAGTAGTCCGGCAACAAAAGCTCCAACTACAATTGATTGTTAGTACCTATGGCAATATTGAAAACGTCAATGTTGAACTCCAGGTAGTAGACGGGATGAATTAAGAGCCCGTTTGGCTTAGCTGATTTAGAGTAGCTGATAAGCATTAGGTGCTGAAAAGTACTTTTAAGTGCTGAAGCTGATTTGGAAAATAAGCAGTTATGTGTTTGGATAAAAGTGCTGAAATTAATAATAAGCAGCTGAAGAACTGGATATATGAAGATTTTTGTTTTAAAAAAAGTATTTTAGGGATAGAATAGTAAATATCTTGGTCAAACCTAAAGTGCTTATAAGCTGAAATTTGATAAGTTGGGAGAGACCAGCTTATGGCTTTTGGCTTATTTTTGGCTTATAAACACTTAACTTATAAGCACTTTTAATTTTATCAAACAAGTAGATAAGCCAAAAATTGCTTATAAGCCAGTATGACCAGCTTATAAGCTTAGCCAAACACTCTCTAAGTCATTGATCATGTGAAGATGAAAAAATAAGCAAACCTTTTATTTCACTCTCCCGGTGAATATAAAATTTCAGGAATTTACTAATGGCATCAAGTGATGTACTCTTATCTTGCTCACCTCAGCTTCCATCAACCTCATTGCCCCTACTACAAGCCCATCTACTAAGCTGAATGTATGAATATTTGAAAATCATCCAAATTCAAACGTTAATTCTACTACACGTGACTATAAAAGTCTTATCACCAATTTTAACGACTTCTTTACTTCTCGATACAACGTTGCAGCTTTTATTTTCCCTAACTTCACCTTATATGAAAATCAAATGGTGATGCCAAACTCAAAAGGCCTGATATTGGTATATTGGAACAACTGGAATCGTTGAACACACAACTAAAGATTAGTTTACCATTGAGGCCATGGGAGTCCATACTCGCCAATACTGACCTCTTCCTTTTCCCCCTTTTATTGGGTTATTGATCATGTTAGGCAATATCTCTCATAATCTACTGCCTTATACCACTCCTTTGAAAAATACAATAGTACTCTGTAAAAGTAGCAATGCGGATATTAGTGCTTTTACTACTTCAGTGGCAGAGTGATAACACCTTTTAGCCAAACAAAAATAGGGAAAGAAAGAGGAGAAGAGAAGCTAAACATATTAACAACAGTCATCTCCTAAACATGTGCGACATCTTGAATCTATGTGCTCGAGGTAGTGTGTCTTTCGACATGTTTCCCTTGATCAAATGCAACTATCTATTGTCCATCTAGAGTAAATGCAACTATCTATTGTCTATCTAGAGTTGAACTAATTTCCCATTCACTTAAGTGTCAAGGTAAATTTTTTATGTTTCTGCTATTTGTCTATGATAAGTGTTATTTTTTTATGTCATTCAGGGAAGAAAATCGCACACTACGATTTGTGCTCTTTCGAGATCATTCATATTTGTTTGGCTCATGGCCGGCACCAAAAGAGGCACAAAGAGTCGATTCATATTTATCACAATTTTACCACCCAAAAATATGAAATGAAGAAAAATTATCGGGTAACTTTAATATCGAACTCAAATTTCTCCAATCTGGACACGCCATAACCCGAAAAGCAGAAAGGAAAATTTTAATTGGCCAATTTAAACCTGCCATAACCACTAAACTTCAGAATTAGTCGAAGAATACAAAGGGAAAAAAAGATGAAAAAATGAGAGGAGAAGATATCAGGAACCATTAAATTTCAAAACTAACAATAATGACCCAAAGGGAAGGAAGAACTAAGAAAAAGGAGAAAAAAATAGCTGCAGCTAGACTTGAGAGCAAGAAGAAGACAAACATTTGCAATACAAGTTTTGAAAGAGATTGAATACTCAAAGCTGAGCTCTTGACTTCAATTCATCTCCGCAAAAAAAAAACGTTCCCCCAATATCATCCATCAAAACCCTAACTCGAAAATTTCTGGATCTTCTTGAATATAGACAAAATTTGTCTTTAATTCAGTTTATTTTCATGAATTTGAGGTAAACCTCCATTGTTTAGTATTGTGTGGGTTGAAATAAATTGGAACAAAAAAGGAGAAACAACAGATAGAAAACAACAAAATTGATATTAAAGACAAATAAAATTTACCTGCAAGTTCAAGAGATTTGAGAGAGAAAGTAGAAAATGTGAAAACCACAAAGTAAAATGAAACTTAGATTAAGCACAAAATAAGATAGAGAGTGAAGTCCACGATAAATCAGAAAATCAGCAAGGAATACCGAAGAGAAAGGAGGAGTAAAGGCGATAATAAGAATGAGAACAATATGCGGTGAATGTAAGAGTAAGAGACACATAGACAACTGTATTAATTTGTAGATTGAAATGGCTATAATACCCTCAATTTGAATTTTAATACCACAAAACAGACATGTCGAAACTGTTGCTCTTTTATATAATAGAAAAATATATAAAGAGACTAGATGTAAAGTTATGTGATTAGTAATCAAGTTCAATTGAAGTAAACAATTAGCAAAATATATATAAAAGAAGAAGACAAACCTGACAGCCTTTTGCTTTGTCAACGACAGATGTCGTCTGTTTGTTCTTTTGGTACTATTAGGTATACAAGCTTTTAGAGGGAAAAATTGGCGCCGGCCAATTCCTTCTTGTTACCGTCCGCAGAAGATGGAGAATAACCAAAAATATAAGAATAAACTAAAAAGTAATCTCAGTACTTTATAGTTATATGGACACGTGTCATTCATATGGATATATATTTATATTTATTGGAGCCAAAAATAATAGAGCAAAGCCGAACCCGAATAATGGTGATCCTAGTCCAATCATTTCATTTAAGGCATGAAATTGAAATCTTTTAAATACTATGCATTTGGGGAACAAAGGCTCTAATCATTTAGAATTACTTTAATCCAGAGTCATAGAAGTACAAGTCAGTTTTTCCTTCGTATCAAGCATTATGTGATTGTGTTATTACTACAATATCAATTAAGATGCTAACAGCGTGGATCCATTAAGGCTGTCTCATTTTGAGGGCCAATATTTCACACTAATAACAAGAAAAATTGAGTGTAAACAAATAAAACAAGATGATTTCATAAAATATGGAAAAAGGAGAATTTGTGGATATTAAATTTGTACGCCCATTGCTTCCTGGCCATATTTGTTGACACATTATTATTCGTGTCCGCCAAGCTTTTGGTCATTAAAACTAGATCAATTGTGATTCTCCATCGATGCTGTCTCTTTTCGACTAATAACTACTAGCAGAAATAAGCATATATAAAAAATAAAAATAAAAACAAAAGATTTGAGGGATACGGCCAAATTTGATACTAAATTTGATACATGTATATGGCTCTTGTCGAATAGAGCATGCAGGCATCATATATCATATTTTCTTTCTTATCACACCTCCAAGATGATGCTGAGGGGAGATTTACGTACATGTGCAGGTTGGTGAATACAAAATTCATGCACGTATGGCTTCTCGCCGTTTGTGATTAATTACTGCAGAATTTAGTCCAGAACAGCCATTTATCCTTCACCAATATTATGATCTGTTACTACTACATAAATTAGCCCACAATTGTAACTCATTATTTGACCAATTTGATGATCTTTACTACATGATTGTGTAAGGACAGTCGTAATTAATCCCTTTACAGAGATGAATGTTTCTGTTTCACCTGTTCAGCATTCAACTTCTCGTTCAAAACCTAATTAATTAGGGATGGTACAACTATATAATAACTCTGACACGTGCGGTGATGGATTCAAGATCTAGACATTAATGATATAATCTGAGTTGAGAGAATGAGTTTGAAATGTATGTTTAATTAATTCAATATACTTGTTTTTCACACACATACGCAAGGTTCGACCCTGAATCAAATCTGCAGAACCCGAAAACACATGATTAGACCAGCCACTAGTCACTTGCACAATGCAGTGGCTTCATCAGCTTGGTGATTATATTTTCCGTATATCTGCTATTGCACCATTTTGGACGCAGGTCTATGTGAACCATTTTAATGTATCTATGCTTTTTTTGCATGCTTCACCTAGCAGTCTGTCTCTGATTCTTAGGACTAGTTAAAAGGGTATTATTTCCTTCTAACTCGATAGTACACAATCAGTCAAGACCCCCCAAAAAAAATAAAAAAATAACAAGCATTGTGAAAATGTGGATGTGTGGCCTTTTGTTTTCCCCGGAATGGATAATAAGATAAGATATTACTAAAGAATCATTTTGAATGGATGCAGGTTTAAGAATCCAGCCTACAATGTGAAATTAATGTGACATTCTTTATTTCCAAAATCATACTACACAGTAGCTTGAAATAAGAGTTACCTTCAATAAAATTACGTAGTAAATTGAAAAGTGCAAATTAGTGTCATGCAATGTCAGGATGGCCGAGTGGTCTAAGGCGCCAGACTCAAGTTCTGGTCTTCGTGAGAGGGCGTGGGTTCAAATCCCACTTCTGACATTTTGCTGCTCTTTTCTCATCTTTTACTCTCTATATATTAACAGATTTATTCACCACTCTCTTGCTTTTTGTTCCCTTAATTAATTGGTCGAACATAGATTTATACTGTCTTGCTTTTCGTACCATTTAAGGGGGTGTTACCCTTACAACGCTAACTTTCTTTCATCTTTAAAACTCCCTCATACTTTGAATTCAGTCGGACTCAGTTTCCTTTCGGACTCAGTTTCCTTATATAGGGATCATATTACTAAGCTAGACTAACCTTTTTGAATGAAAAAATTCAGCTAAGTCTATTTTTATTTTTTATTTTTTAACTTTTAACAAGACTTTCACTTTACACTTGTAATGTAGTTCGTTCATTCATGTCTCTTCCATTCTTTCATGATAAGGCTAAATTCTGCGACGTGTTTTCTTTTGTCAATTGAGGTATCGTTTTTGTTTATCCATATATTTCATATTGCTGATTTACTTTTTTAAACCTTTTGTTCAAAATAGCTTATATCCCGAAATCTCTTAAAATTTAGATACCCAGGCTTTTGTTTTAATCTGTTAGGGACAATAGAAGAGTATATTAAGGCCAAGGTTAGATTGACAAGACACAGGTTGCCGAGTCCTGAGGTTGCGCAGATATAAAGGAAACTAATGGGAATAAGAAGTAATCACATCAACTCAAAAATATTTTGATATATAAGATTTGATTCTTAAATTTATGCTTCTGAATGAACTATAACGATCCAAGTAGAAACGATAGATAGAATGGAATAGAAGTAATAGAATATCACAATCCAAAATCCATCAAAGATCGTAATAGTGCCTCACTTGTTTGCTGGGCAAGCGAACACATAATAATAATAATAATAATAATAATAATAATAATATAATAATAATAATAACATAAGCCGATTCATTAAGTTAATAATAGAGTGGTGATAAAACATAAAAGCGAAAACAGTCTCAAAATCGATATAAAGATACAAATATACGAAACGAGGTCTTAACACGACCACAACTGTCTAGCAATGCCCAAAACCTAGTATCACAGTATCACGAGCATCTAAAAGAGTGAATTGCATCTATCAATATAACAATATCTGTTTGGAAGAAATTGTCACGGCCCAAAATCCACTAGTCGTGATGGCACCTAACCCAACCAGCTAGATAAGCCAGCTAAATAACTATCCAATTCCAATAATAATAATAAGACAATTAAACAAAGGAATTTCTCTGAATCTTATACATTTCTCAAGGACTAGTAGTACAAATCATGAGCTTCTAAGAATAGAATTTACAAAGCTGATATGAAGCAAATATATCTTCTGTTTGAATAGCACATAATTTTATAAATCTACGGCTACTGTGAACAAGAGGGAGCTACAACAAGGATGCAGGTACATCTTCCAATCCAGCTCCAGTCGAACACAACAACATCGACATTTGAAATCTGCACGCAATGTATATGAAGTGTAGTATGAGTACAACCGACCCCATATACTCAATAAGTAACAAACTCAACCTTAGGTTAAAAGTAGTGACGAGCTGGAATACAGGCCGGGTCCAACACCAATAGCCAACAACAGTTCATAACAACGTAGAGCATATGAATAAGGAAGCAACTTAGAGATAAAATGCTCAGTTTTTTCACAGTTTTTCAAAAAAATAGTTCCGCTTTTCAATAATATCAGTGAAAACTCAAAATTCTTTACCTAAATCGTTGTAAACTATGAGATAGTTTGAAAATTGTAATTTTAAAAAAAAAATCTTTTCACAATAAATAAGATGCTTTATTTTCTTTCCCGATAGCAAGTATGAGATACATCTCTATGACCACATACCAATGTGTGTAAAAAGTCATGAATGATGTGATACCGTACAACATGAGGAAAATGTGTCTCTATGCATGTATGTCTCATATGCATACCAATGCCATGTATCTGAGAGATGAATCATATACTCACACTCTCAGAGTACTCAATCTCACTGTCTCACACTTTCCACTCATCATGCTCAACTACTTGGTATTGTATATGGCCCGTACGACCCAGGAAAATCCATCCCGGAACATATACAACACTGACTATAAGTAATCCAGTACTGAGAAAAAAGGGCAATCCAACCCTGTGGAGAAATCCATCTCCAGATATCAAGTGCTTCGGACAAATCCATGTCCAGGGAAATTCAACCCTCAATAATATCATCTGCGCTCACTGGGGCTGTGTATAGACTCCAGAGGGGCTCATTCAGCCCAAGCCCTATCATAATCATCAATATAACCGCTGCGGCGTGCAGCCCGATCCCATAATGTCACTCATAATCAGGCTCTCAGGCTCACTCAGTCATCAATCTCTCCAGTCTCACCCATGGGCTCACAATGTCATGAAAACTGACCCAGAACAATGATATAATGTATCAATAAGTAACAACTGAGACATGATATAAATGCACGAATATGACTGAGTACAAAATATCAATGAAATCAGTGAGATGACAGCATGCAACTATCACTATGTGTCCTAACAATATCAGAATAAAGCCTAAACATGATATCTAGCATGATTTATAGCTCAGTTACTTATCACATGGTGAAAACACATATATCAACAAAAATAGGGCCACTATATAGTGCCATAGAAACAACGACATCACAATTCACAGGGTTCACGCCTACACGCTCGTTACCTAACATGTGTTTCACTTCAATACCAATCACAACACGTAATTTGGGGTTTCATACCCTCAACACTAATTTAGAAGAATTACTTATCTTAAATAAGCCAATTCCAACATCGAGCAAGCCAAGCGATACTCCGAAAATGCCATCATGTGCGTAG